ACTGCAACACACAGCTTGGTGTCATAAATGTTAGGTGTAGTAATGGGACAATGTTGTGTTGGGATGCAGGCCCCCAGGAAGAGGGAGGTCTGCAGTGTTGGGAATGGAAGTGCTGTAGCTGATGTTTTTCAGCTGTGCACCTTTCACACATGCAGAAAGGCCCATACAGTCTCTGTTCTTATCTCACTGGAAACACGATGTTTAAGCTACCTAAAACCGTACCTAAACACAGATAGCAGGTGCAAGGATGTGGGAATACTCAACATGTTGTTATAACCTCCTGGAGTATAGGTTTCAAAGACTATATTTCTTCAAAGCACCTGAAAGTTCAAGACAATCTGTCAAAGGTCTTTCTTCAAACAAGAAAATGCTATACCAACATCACCAAGTACCTGTCTTGAAAAGTTTAAACATTTACACCAACAGAAAGTTGGTAATGAAGAGCAAGCTACAATATTCATACCAGCTGACAGCTGTAAAACCTACAGCTAACATTTCTGGCACAGACTGCATGCACAGTGCAAGAGGGAGCAGCTTATTAACAGCAAGTCTAATGGGAAAGGTGTACATGCTGCTCAAGAATGAAAATGTAAAACTGGAAAGGCAACAAAAGCAACTCAACTCCCAAGCCAGTGCAAAAGTTGAAATACTTCTATGAAAATTTACATAGCTAATTCAAAACCATCATGTAAGTTGCTATGCATTCTATTTCCAAACAAAAAAACCCCTTTCCAGTCTTACCTGAGAAATGCAACACTCTTGTGCCTCTGTGGTTAAGACGATGATTGTGGCTAAACAGGAAAAGAAGAGGTACTATACAAAGACATCCCAAAAAAACTATTAAAACGTACACATGGATATCAAGTGCATATTTAGGACCTAAAAGACACCTGGAGTAGCATAGGCATTTCATACAGGGTTTTTAAAAAAATACTTTTAGATAATACTTAAACTGTACACAACAAGACTTTTAAACAATATATTACACTGCTAAAATGTTCATATAAATACTATACAGGCAAGGGTGCAACCATCCCATCAGGAAGGTTCACAGCTTAGACCACCACATATCTCTGGAAAAAGCTTTCAGATTATCTTCAGTATCTGATTTGTGTAATCCAAGCCACTGATTCAGCAATACTTAAAGTAAGTGGGACAAGGCATGAGATGAAGTACATTTGTCTGCTGATTCCCAGTTCCAGTTTAATATACTATGTCACCTTAATCTGGCATATCAATGTTTAACTTGGGAGGTGGAATCACGTATTTTCCAGGACTCTGTGTAATAACCACTCCAGTCTTTTTTCGAAACATTGGTGCAATTTTTGGCGGTTCAGGCAGTGGTGTTTCTTCTGTTTCTTCATTATCTTCATGATGAAGATCATAAGAAATATTTCCATATTCTCGTAAGAATGGGAAGATTTCAAGCAGGAACTGACAAAAGTCCTTGCGAATTCCAAACCACCCTAAAAAAAAAAATCATTTCACATTATTGCGGAACAGAATGAAAATTTAATTGAGAAGACTACGCAAATTTAAGTTCTCTTGATTGTTTGCATATAAACAATGTAAAATTTGTTAGTGCTTCTCAGTGTGTTACTTTCATCTATCATGTAACAGCACTTCAAAGGTGGATTTTCATGCAAGTCTTGTGAGGCTCACTTCAGGTAAATAGTCTTAAAAATTTACATCCCTATTTATTAACCCTACAGGAGATAACATCGACATACGGCTTTCCAAAAGACTAATTTGGCCATAAAGTACTGAAGGCATGCATTTAAAATAAATCACCAGTAACAATTTTCCATGCAGTAACAAGACAAAAGTAAACTAAATGTATACAGCTTAGTTATGACTGAAGGAAGAAATTCCCAATATAATTTACCACTGGCCCATAACTGAAATGAGTTTATATAGCAAACATCACAGGTGGTTCTTTCCAACTCTGAAAGCCTAACATTTTATTGCCTTGTCAACAAGTAACACGAACTGCGATGTGGATGAGAAGAGCTACTCTGCACTGCTTCAGTAACACTGGATGGCTGCAAGTGTGAACACTCAGCAGTGCTAGTTGTGGTGGGTGTAAAAGCCTAGTAAATCTACACTGGCTGCTGGGGCAACTGAAGTTACAAGTAACCAGTACACAGCACTATTTGGTCAAAGAAGAAAGATAACACTAGTTCAGGCTACTGGGACAATTAAAAATGGTAGGTGCTACACTATTTTCAGAACCCAAAGTAGAAAGATCTAGCCATGTCCTGTGAGGATGAAACCTATGGAAATAAGTAAGGATAAAAGGCTAAGTTACAATTAAAATCCCATTGTGATTTCAAGTTTAGTCCGAGCAGAATTTATGCCCTTATTCCTGTAAGAAAAAAAGCACGAGACACTATAAACACTGAAAACTTACTAATATTTTCAGGTGATTTTAATAACAGACATGTCTGAATTCTTTTATGAGAGAATATAAAAAAACACCCTTTTTTCAAAATACAAATATTCATAAAATACATTTAAGCCTTGAGTTTCAATTTGTTTCTGTAATTTTTAAATACTTACAGTGATTTCCTCCTTTTTGTCCAAATGTTGTTGCCATTAAAGTTATCAGCGAAAGCCAGAGAGGAACAAATATGGGTATAAAAGAAAAAGAATTATGCCCATCCAGTCTGTGTACTAGTAAGATCTAAATGACAAACCAAAAAATAGTTATACAATGTCAGTTTAATTGCAATACTCACTTTCCAGCTTCCTAAAAACATATGATCTCAGATCTTTAACTTCACACATGTGTGAAGGAAAATGGCCTCCACAGAAACATGTAGTTACAGTTCCAAAGTGATGCACATTTTACTCAATTCTAAGGAAACGTGCAATTCTTGTTTTTCATTCATATTTGCTATTATTCTGCTTTTATTAAGTTCAAAAGGAGACAGAGCAACATTCATCACCCACTGAAAAAAAGAACAAGATACATAAAACTTGTTAACACTTCTCCCTACCTCAAATGTGAGCAGTGGAACCACAATTGTCATCCAGCTGACAGCCATGGTTATGTGTGTCCTCCTTTGCTCAGCAATCACATCCATAGAGCGCAGGAACAGAACAGACCACACAATGTAATACAGCACTACTAGACACAGAAAGGACATCAAGATCCACAGTGGAACACAAACCACCTGAAAGAAAGAGAATTAACTGTTTTTCTCCACCCCTCACAGTGATTGGTTTCACATGTGGGTTTTTTAAATAAAGGAAGTCTACACATTAAGTCTAAACAAGGAAAATAAATTGAAGTCTAATGCTCTTTAAAGACACAATCTCTAACAGGAAAGCCTCACAAATCATGTTAAGATTAGGGTCATGAGCCCTAGCAGCTCTTTGGGGTTCCTCAGTTAGCTCTGTAATCTCCATCAAGATGAAACAATTTAAAATTAAATCAGTGTAGTTAAACTTTAATCAGTCTTCAGTGATTTTACATGGGCTGAAACAGTTCTCGGAACTGATTTTAGCAAGTATTTTCTACACTGGACACCTTACTTGAAACAGTTTCTAAACTGGATCCTTTTCCTAGGTTTTTGGAAACCAGAAAGGACAGTCATGGTCATGCCAGATTATCAGTTCTGTGGTAGTTTACAAAAACCCGGACACAGAAACTGCACTTGGGTTTTCTGAAGGCACTTGGGACAGGAGATCTCAGTAGCTTCGACAGTGACCACTTGCACAGTAAGTAGATTTACATGCACAGTAACACAACAAACAGAACTAGTTATTTACCACACCATATTTACCGACACATTCCCTAACTCACTAATCATTTTCATAGCTAGCTTAGCATTCCCACTGGAAACTTTCCATTAGGATTCTGTTTCAACAACTGATCAGATTAATTGCAGTCAACGGCACATCCCTCCTCCCCAGAGGCTGAAATGCCCAAAGAACAGCCTGTTTCCCGTGACCACTGAATGAACTGCTAGACCTTAGGAAAGCAAAAATGGGATCATGGACTGTGGTCATACATTAACTGTTCCCTATACTAAATATCTTTACAAAATTCAGCATTTAAACAAGGATAAGAAGAAAACACTTGTTACATACAAGCCACGGCCATCTGATGATCTCATCTAGTCTGAGTGCAATGAATATGAACTGTAGAATATTGACTGAACACAAGATTTCCAGCTAGAAAAAGAAAATACATTACTTAACTCTTAGCATGACGAAGCTATTTTCAGGATAATCAAAGGACTTGTCTGTCCCATGCTTATCACTGCAATATGGAGCATCACTTGCATCTAAATTTGGGAGGTTGTGATCCCAAAAGAGTAGCTGTAGGCAGAGCTCTCTCCTGAGGAAATACCTTACTGGTATTTAAAAAAAATAAAATACAAGCACTATCTGCAACACTTTATGAGTGAATAATATGAAAAGCCAAACTAATCAGTCTGAAAAAAGCAAAGCATCAGAAAACAAGTTCAACTATTTTCTTCAGATAAAAAAAAATACTGGTAGAATTAAATTAGTAAGTATCAAAATGTATCTTTGAAAGATACCACTTAATAGTTGCAGTAATGATGAAAGTTACATGGATTTAACTACCAACAGTCCAGTTTAAAGTCCTGGATCTATACAGGGGAGAAAGAGAAATACATAGAATAGTGGAAGATGACATCCAAATTAAATAATTTACCCCATAATTCAGAGATTTTAAATGACACTGCAGACCCTTGGGTTTTGCTGTAACACAGAAAAGCAATAGTTCTCAGTAAAAATGTTAATGAAAGCTTTTTACATGTCCTGCCTGTCACTGTAAGAAATAATCCTAAATTATGCTTAAAAAAAAAAAAAATCAAGTTTGTGTCTAACTTGAACAAAGTGAAATAACAAAACACCGTCAGATCTAGCAAGATCCTGCTTCTAAACTTCACGGGCACCCCTATGTGGGTACAAATTTCAAAGATCAAACAGAGAAAAAACTGAGGCACTCGTGTAAGTTGGAAACATTTTCCATTTAAAAAAAACAAGTAGGTATGTAAAGTGTCTTTGAAATGCAGTATTTCTCAGAAGGCAGACAACTACATCCCTGGCTGTCTTCAAGGCCAGGCTGGACGAGGCTTTGAGCAACCTGGTTCAGTGGAGGGTGTCCCTGCCCATGGCAGGGGGGTTGGAACTAGATGGTCTTTAAGGTCCCTTCCAACCCAAATCATTCTGTGATTCTACATGCTACTTTTCACAAATACATATGATTGTGTATAATTATCTCTTGGATAAATGCTTTTGAAATTTACAGTGCAGGGAGTTCAAAATCCAGTGGGCAGCAG